TTTATTTTTGGGTTACAAACAAACTTCTAGCGGGAAAGTTGTAGCCAATGAGTTGATCTTAACTTTCAAATCAACCAATTTGTGATAAAATGATTGCGTCATTATTAAATCGTTTGGAAACGAGCGTGGGACGGTACCGCGCCGCCACCGCGCGGCCACTCCCGGAGTACCCGGTCCCGGTTGTGTAGCTTTGTCGATATGCATTTTCAGAAAACAATCTAGAACGTTTATTAATAAGTATTTGTATAGGATCTTATCGAAAATACATACTTTCCTTTCCACATGTACTTTAGGAGTAAAATTAACAATCAAGTTTAAGATTAAATTTATAAATTTGTTTTCAGCTATACAAACGACCAATGTTCATTCAAATCAAATTGATTATTTGCCATACTTTAAAAACAAGAAGAATATTTGGAGATTTTAACGGGTAAATTTCATGAATGACAACCCGAAATCTGGGATTTTTCGTGAATGCAGTGGTAGCACTGCCAGGCATTGATAGGATCGAGATGTTTTTTAAGCCAGGGAAGCTACAAGTGCTTCCAACTTGCCTAATCTTGGGTTAAGACAAAAATTAACCAAACTGATTTTGTTTAGAAATGTTTAGGATTTCAGATCTAAAAATCTAGACATAAATGTTATTAAGGTGTTAATGTTTGTATATAATGTTTTTTATCTTATTTGAGTTCAAATAGATAATGTATATTTAATAATAATAAATTATTTTGATTCGTTGAAAGTGTTCTTATTGCCTTTTATTTCATTTTAATTTATAAACATGAGACCAATCTCTAATTATTACAGTAATTGGACTGTTATGACCCTCTATCCAAATTTATTTCAAAAGCCAAAAAATGTTTAAAAATATTATACAAATGTGTTAGGGAAATATTCCAATTTGTTTTTAATAAAATAAAACATGTCACTGACAAGAAAATTACACTAAAAGTTGAAGTTAATCGTGTTTTAAAAATATACCTGATGTGAAAGTAAGAATGAAATTAATTCCGAAAGAACCACAATCTATTAGAGAATACAATTCAATCGTTCATTTGTCCTAAAAAAATCATGTCGTCTGGAAACAAAATAAAAGTAGGCGCGCGTTGCGATTTTCCCTATCCCGCCCATCTTAGCGCTGGCGTTCTTGCCTACCACGGGCTGCTCACAGCTACTCGCGGCCGGACCGAAAAACGGTTCGCTTCAACACGGGCGCGATCACTCCAGAAGTCTACCTCGATGGTTGTTCTTGAGCCTCCATCCATGGTTCTCACTTTGTTTTTTTTTGTTTTTTTGGTGGGCCGCTCCTCGGGCCAGCACATGGATTCACGCTTCCAAGTCGTTGGCCTGGGTGCAGGTACAAGGGCGCGGTTCACTTGGAATTTTTCTTGACTTTTCAAAAGCATTTGACTCTGTTTCACACAAGAAATTGCTAGAAATTCTTCACGGTTTAAATATAAATAATGAAGAGCTTAAGTGGTTCAGTTCATACTTGCAAGGAAGGAAACAATGTGTTCAATACAGCATAATTTCTGCCATCCAAATAGTAAATACTCTTACACTCAAAATGTTTACTCTGAATACAAAAATATTAAATATGGTGTCTCCCAGAGATCTATTTTGGGCCCTCTTTTATTTCTTTGTTATATGAGGGGGTTCCCACTAGCTGTCGATGGAGGAGGTTCAGCGTGTCTTTATGCTGATGACACCAACATTACAGTTATAGGCCATTCCCAAGAGGAAGTCGAACTGAAATCTTTTCTAAATCTATTATCAGTTAATGATTTCTCAAGTAGAAAAAAATCTCCTAATAAATTACAGTAAATAAAATGTTATATCATTCTCCACAAAACAGTCAAGATCTAAATTGAATTGAACCCGCGTATTTACCTTGATAATTCAAACTTGATTCAAGTAGAGTACACAAAATTTCTCGGATTGATATTGGATCAAAACCTAAATTGGGATAAGCATGTTAAGCATGTAATTGATAAAAGTCAAAAGGTAGATACGCCCTGCGACAAATGTCAAGGGTGTGTGATATTGATACTTTAAAAACCATATACTTTGTATTAATAAATTCTCACATATCCTATGGTATAGCAATTTATGGAGGAACTACCCAGAAAAATTTGGATAAAATTCTTCATCATCAAAAAAAGCACTCCGAATTATTTTAAAAATTAAAAATAATTGCCAATCAATGAAACCATTCTTTTCTAAATTAGGTGTTATGACATGACTTGTAGTCCTATTACATGTAAAAAAATTAAACCTCCAAACTAATAGTACGAATATTCAACATTATAAATTAAGGCATACTAGGCAGGTTGAACAGTTTTTTGAGAAGACATGTGGTTTCATTGGCATAAAATTCTTATTTAATTTACCTAAAATTATAATAGAGGAAAAAAATTGATGTTTTTAAAAAATATTAAAAAATTATCTTTGTATTCTTTGGACGAATTTTGGAATTCAAGAGAAATCATAAATATAGTTTAAAAATATGATTTAATTTAATTTTGTTTTGTTTAGTCTTCTTAAGCTTAACATTTGTTTTGTAAAGATAATGATTGTTTTAGCGATAAGTAAGGCCGTCGACACACGGGAAGACTGTTTTCCAACTGAAATCGGCAACTAGTTGGACAAACTAGTCGCCAGCGTCCCGACCAATATAGTTAGATGGGACAGTACACACGGTGCGACTGCGATGCGACCAGTTGAGGACCAGTCGGCGATCAGTCGTTAAGCAACTGGACCTGCCGGTTGCTAGGTGATTTCAGTCGCCTGGTTTGAACAACTTTTCGCATATTTGTATTACGCTTTTCAGGGATCGGGCATACCAACTGCGATAACTCTTCGTAAGTACTTTTTGACATCCTGTTCATAGACTGAAATTTTGCGTCTGTTTCTTTTAATGCAGCGGCAGCTACAAAGAGCCTACATTTAATATTTGTTTTAACATAAGGATGTACCCAATACCTTCTACGTTCTTGATTGTCTATAAAACACCAGGGCTTCTTAATCACTACCACCCATTTCAAACACCATACACAGTACACAGTATCGTTATAACCAAATTAGAACTCATTTACTGTCTCAACTCAACTACAATCGCGCCCGTGTGCGGATTTAACCAACGCAACTGCAATCATAATCGCGTCACAAAAAAGTTGGTTCAACTTTGGTTGGGTTTCAGTCTTCCCGTGTGTCGACCGCCTAAGGCATAATTAATCTTTATATTTATTTGAGGCTATTCATTGTATAAATACTTGTACTGTGAATGAATAAAGAGAATTTTATTTTGAATTTTAATTGAATGCACTGAATGTTGAATATAAATATGAAAAGAATGCTTGTTAAATAATTACAGGAAATCTTTGTCATTGATTTGCCAACTGCTACCATTGTGCACTAAATGTCATTCTTGAATTTATCAAATTTATTCAACCTAGGTTAAATTTAATCAATCGTATTTTTTTTTTTAAATGTGATATTCCACATATAATTTACACATTAATTTACATACAATTTAGTTTTCAAAAGTTATTGATTTTCTTATCATCTCAACGAGATAAAGTATCTGTAGTCATGTTTTTGGGTACTTTCCTGTTAAAGGGACCATTCATGATTTTCGATGATTTCTTCTCCATATATTGATATTTTTGTTTTCCTTTACTATCCATATTCCCTCGCTTCTGTTTAATATATTCAAACGCATTTAAACTACGAATTGAGGACTGCCTATATGGATTAAGAAAATGAAACTATTCTTAACTAACCTAACATACTAACTAACGACACTTGCTGTAGGCTAAGTTTCCATTTAAAAATTCCATTTGATAACATAAAAGGCATGTGGGAAATGCAATAGGTTATCAAACAGAATTTCGAAATTTTAGAGCAAGTTTGGTTAGTTAGGTTGGTTTAGAACAGTTTCATTACAATATATTTTTATATGTTTGTTGATACTGAAAAATATTTATTTATCCTAGTTGTCAGCTGATATGTTTCAATTTGTCAATATTGATATGGGATAAAAAAATAAAATATCAATATATCGAAAAGAAATCATCGATAATATTATTATATTATATGAAAATGTTCCCTTTTACAGGAAAGTACCCGTTTTTGTTTTAAACGTGACTACAGATATTTTACTAAATCTATATATATAAAATCCAATGTATGTTTGTATGTTTTTTTGTTTGTTTGTTTGTTTGTCCTTTATGGACTCCGAAACCGCTCAACAGATTGTAATGAAACTTTCAGGTATTATTAAGCATTATTCAAGGATAGTTTGTGTGAAGTTTGGTGCAGATCCGTTAAAAGGGCTCCACCCCAGTGGCTCTGGAGTTTCCCATGTTAACCTTATGAGTACTCATATTTAAATGGAATTAAAGAATTTTAACAGCTGGTTCAACTAAACAATTTGATTCTGTGATGTTCAATAGCATTACAAGTTTAATAGGTTTACCAACAGGGTGCAGCACTATTATTTTTTTAAATTTATGACAATAGCTAATTTGCAACCAAAAGGTGAGTGAGCGTAGCGAACGAACTTCAATCAGGACGTGATTGAGCCATGAGAACGAGCTCATCTTGAAAATGAACGAGTATTTGACATAAAACCACATTAGGACAGGACGGTGTCTGTCGGGCCAGCTAGTAATTTATAAATAGAAAAAAAATAAAAATCAATGACTCCAACCGAGACAGCTATTATGTTGAACCAATCAAACAATGTGAAATAGTACGGCATTTTGATTTACCATTCACAGTTTCATATAAGTTTAATTGCATGATATTTTTCCTCATAAACAACCATGATACATTAAAAATGTCTTAGTATACAAATATTTACAAAATAGGTTTTCAAAAGATACTATCTAGCGTTGTAAAGAAATAGTCTACATAGTTGGATGTTGGTGGATTAATAAAGGCTTTCTTATTCCTTTCTGATTTTCTCTATGCCAAGGTTAATCAACCAACTGTTGCAGGAAGCATAGTGGTGTCAGAAGAGGAGAGTGACTCACATTGGCAGCAGAATGACTATAAAGGGTTCTCTCCCAGCACTGACTGGCACAATGTTGACTTCAAGTCAGCCCCAGCTATACAAGAGCTGCCTGTGATCAGTGCTATTGGTGAGCCTTCCCATGGAGCCAACGTACGGCTTGTAGACAGCAAACTGCAGTTGAAAGGTGAAATACACATCTTTCAAACAACAAAGAGATTAATATTGTGTTGACCTAACATGTCAATCACATACAAGGGCTTGCTTGAAAACAACGTTCACTGTTCAGTAGAGTCTGTTCCGAACCCAACTATTTTTCAAATCCACCAATTCAAAATTAAGGTTAGGAAGTTATTTTATTATTTATTAAATTTTTAGTAAGAGGCTAACTATGCCATCACGAATGTGCTGCTGGTGAAGTTAGCAATAACACTGAGAACGTTAAGATTCTAGCAATGATTTTGGGAACGTCAGCAAGGCTATTAATGTCGCCAGAAAAGTTAACAATATATAGGGCTGGCATAATGAGGCTGCAAAGAAAGGTGCTGCAATATTGGTGAGTCGATAGGTAGCTCAGTCAGTTTAGTGCCATGAACTTCAGGCACAAGGGAGCAATGTCGCAGGTTGGGATCCTGGTACCTGCCACTACTTTTTTCAGTACAGCTCACCTTTGTACTGTACCGGTTCATCCGTTACTATACTAGGTAGTTTCCACACACAGGCCTCTGTGGCACATAAGGACGGCAAAATGCAGGGATATAAGAGGCCGCCAACCTCTTAAAAAGAAATCTCCAAGAACAGTAACAAACTTAGCAACACCACGAATACACAAAATTTAAATGTTGCCTCAAACAGTGGAGAATTTGGCTAAGATACCGCAAATGTGTGTGAACATGGTAGTATTACTGTGAATGTTGGCGAAGTTAGTTATATGTTATATCTTACAGAGAAGTTTTCAATACTCTACAACCTTGCATCAAAATTGACATTGTCTTCTGTGATTGTGGCGACGTTGTTCTGATCCCCCGAATACTCTGCAACATCATCTGTTGTGATCGCAGCATGATTGTGACAATTTTGCCATTGATGAAACCTGCTAGTCCAAACAAGGTTATGTCTTTGGAATAGCGGGGCTCTACTATTTACACAGTAATAATGATTTGAAAAAAAAATCTAAATTTAAAAATTATTTGAAATTTAAATTGGGTATAGTTTAATTGTATATACTTTTCACCACACTATGATGTTTTTGGCTGTATTACATACGTTAATTTGTGGCTGAAAGTTACGTTTTGCTGGCCATGCCAGCTGTCATCGTAATTTGGGGACCGAGCAGGTTTTTACAGGCCGGGGCCGCAAAATCAGCTGTCCGCTTACTTACTTAAAACATGAATGCATTTTAAATACACAATCAAAATCCATAGCATTGCAATAGAATTGTGTTATTCTCACCGTTTCCTAGCAACTATTTATTATTATTTTTGCTGATTCCTCAAATTATTTTTCCACATAACCTTAAAGTTGTAGTTGTGTTTACTATCAGTGTGCATTATTATGGTGGTGAATAGTGGTAATGGAGTATAGTGAGGTGAAAAATAGCGTTCGTACCATGGACCGAAATGGTTTTGCAGCTCTCGATCGATTTAAGTTCTCGACTTTGTCTCGAACTTAAAAACTATCTCGAGCCGGCAAAACCTAATTTTCGGCCCTAGGTACGAAATATACTATTTTAAATCACTGTACAAGACTATCTGTGACTGTGTACAAGAAAACTCCTCTAAAATAAGGCAACTTTAAATCAGCAGCAAGTTTTACTATATCCAAACTACTTAATGGTTTTTCTGGAAGTCTTTAATTATTTCCTATGAGTACATTTTTTTTTACTTTTACTACCAGATCCCGTATAAGGTCTCAAATAGAGCCACTTACCACTTTTATTTTTTCCTCTTGCAGGCACATTTAGGATTTTTTTCTTTTTCCCGACAGGTTTTTTCTTATTTGTTTTTAGCGAATTTCCCATATAGGGAATAAGCTATTACCGTAGTACTCATGGTAAGACCTGGACGCGGGACCGATTTTTTGTTTTGTTTTGAGGTCCCTAGAGGCCAAAAACACCATTTGTTCAAATTCATATATATATATATATGTGTCCGTTAGCACGATAACTCGAGCAAAAATGATCCGATTTTGATGAAATTTGGTACAAACGTGTAAACCTACGTTTATTTGAACGAGTTCGCGATCCAGCATGATCGGACCATGGGAACGGGGGTTTATGGGGGGTTTTATGGGGTACAAATAGGTTTTTCCCATTTTTGACTCAAAAAACATAAAATTTTGCAATTTCTTTCTAAACCATTTTGTAGAGCTTAAAAAAACAAATAATTTAGTATATTGAAGCGTTATTATGCGCCTAATTGTTACGGAGAAAATTTCAAAAAATTGTAAATTTAAAATTCCCATGTTATTCTTATGGAGAATAAATAAACTGTTGTAGTTTGCTTGTTTATGAACATATTTTGATCAAATTTGGAAAATTTTTTATTTCTTACTAACTATTAACATTTTACAAAAAAAAAACAGTTTTACCCTCCCTGATGCAGCAAACCTAAGTACTTTTTAAACTAATTCTATTTAAATCGGGAATAAATGTTATATTTTTAAGTAGACATTTCAGTGTAAATCCAATCAGTCAAATGGAAATTCGCTTAGTCTGCAGGTTTGCTGTGGCGGGGGTATTTTTTAATTTTTGAAGACTTCTCTTTTCCCCCACCAAGTTTTGCTTTCGTTTTCATTATGTTAGCAACTGCCCAGGCGGCAGCTCTCTCACCAATACTAGAGTCTGAAGCTTTTACCCTTTCCCAAGCTAATAAGCTGTCAGCCACCAATCTAATTTTACTATCCTTCGATCTTGAGTATGCTATATCGTGGTTTTTGCGTGCAGCATCCAATTTATTTATGACTGGATCACCCCTTGCTTATCTCTTCCTTAAATTTGTTCCAGGTCCACAGTACTGATAGCCGGGTGTTGTGTTTAAATAAAAGAATAGATTCTAATAATTTAAGTAACTCATTTTATTAAAGGTGTAAACAGGAAACTGAACTGTAAATTACAAACATTAGAAAATAAACACCAGCTGATCAGCTGGTATAGCAATCCTCCCGCTTTAGTTTTCTTTGTATATTTAAAATTTTCTAATCTGGTCTACATGTCTTTTCCATATACATCCGTCTTCCGTTCTAACAAGGTAGATAACATTTCCCGTTTGTTTCTCAATTTTCCCAACCGTCCATTTTTTATTTGAAGTAAGAGAGTAGTCCCTCACCAGCACTCCTTCCCCTACAGTAAAGTGTCTCTTTGTCACTTGTATCTCTGTCTCTTTCAAAATAGGGGTTTCTACTAATAGATCTAGTTTAGTTCTTATATTCCTCCCAAACATGAGGCTATAAGGAGATTTCCCAGTAGTAGAATGTTGTGTTTTTCTCAACTGTTTTAATATCGTGTTTAACTTTATCTCGACACATCCGTTTGCAATTAAAAGGCTCTTCACAGTTTGGACCACCCTTTCAGCTTGTCCATTTGACTTAGAACAAAATGGAGCTATGGTTTTTTGTATTATTCCATACCTTGTGAGAAAATCTTTGAAAGGTTTTGAAGTTAGCTGAGTTCCATTGTCTGATACCAGGATATGAGGAAACCCGAAGGTTGTAAATAATCTATCCAATTGCTTAACACACCAAGCTGTGGTTGTAGATTTTGTATGTATAATTTCTACCCACTTACTGTAGGCGTCAACGACGATTAAGTACCACCAACCCCGCAGTGGACCAGCAAAATCAATGTGTATGCGTTCCCAAGGTCCGTTCGGGAGCTCCCATGGGTGAGTTGTCCCCTTAGGTAGATTTTTCAATTTTTGTTGACATGAATGACAATGTTTCACCATAGCTTCAATTTCTTGATCCATATTCCTCCAATAACAGTAGCTTCTAGCTAGCAATTTCATTTTTGTCATGCCCATATGACCAGCATGTAATTCTTCCAAGACTTGTTTACGTGTAAAGTGGAAGGTACACAAATTCTATGCCCTCTGAATATGCAACCGTCTTGTAGACAAAACTCATTATCATTCAAACTGAGTTCTTTTAAGCTTTTTCCTGATATAAGATGATCGTATACCTTTTTAAGTTCCTCGTCCTTTTGTGTTTCTTCTTCAATTAGTCTTCTTGATACAGGCATCATCTCTACTTGATTCATTAGATACCGTTCATGATCGTCACATACATTTGATACTTCTGTAACAGGAAATCTTGATAAATAATCCACATTAGCATGTTGTGTCGTACTTCAGTATTCAATCGTATAGTCAAAACCCGATAAGAAATGATCATAATTAAAAATCCTTGATGCAGTCATAGATGGTAAGGTCTTTGTCGGGTTGAAAATGGCTACAAGGGGTTTGTGATCAGTTATTAAAACAAACTTCCTTTCATAACAGTATGCAAAGAATTTCTTTAAGCCCCAGTAAATTCCCACAGCTTCTTTATCTATCTGACTGTATTTGCGTTCTGTTTTCGTAAGTGAGATGACTTTCGAGTGGAAATATTAGAATATAAAAAGACAGAGTGTTGAAATAGAAGTAACTGTGTTATATTAAAGATCAGAATAGAAAAGTAAACAGCATTTGATAATAAACATTTTGGTTGCTATGGTAACAACTGATTCATATGTTCATAACATTCTCCCCCACTTAATCACTGGAGAGCAAAGTCCTTAAGATAGGACGGAACCTTGCGTTGTCTGGAAGGACGAGTTAATTTATTTTCTTTTTGTTCTGTGGCTTGAGGTCTGTCTAGATTTTCTTCCCTTAGAGTACCGTCTAGTTCTGTTGGATTGTTTGAACTTGATTCAGACTCTGGGTGGATCTCTTGTGGTGGTGCTTGACAGTCTATAATGGGTATCCGTCTTGGAACAACAGAACTATCTTGTTCGTTGTGTGTTGTACATGTAACTTTCTTCTTAGATACAAGTGTCGAAATCAATTGATTTATGTGTCGTTTTAAACTTCGTCCAGAATCCAATTCAACAATGTAATGGTATTGACCTAATTTTCTCTTGACTGTACCAAACTGCCATATGTCTTTATTTCCCAGGTGAACTCTTGCCTGAACCCTCTCCCCCACTTTAAG